CGCGCAGGGAAGGGCGAAGCCGGCGGGCTCGTAGTTTTAGCCGGGTCCGTTGTTCTTCCTGCGGTGCCTCCTCCGGCAACTTGACTGCCCCTCCCCGTCCAAAGCAGAGCCGAGAAGGGGGTTTTGCGGGGCCCTCGCGGGTTTCTGTTTCCTGCAGCTGTAGGAAGCCGCAGAAGGAGAGGCTGGGGGATGGATGTCTTAGGAGCGATGAGGAGGGAGCAAGCCCCATCCTAAAAAACAAACAACAACAAAAAAAAACCCAACCCTTTGGTAGCTGAATTTTGTAACAGGCGCAGAATCTTTTTTTGGGGGAAGCGTATCTAGACCGTCGGCGGTCACAGAGCTAGAAGTCTGCTCCCACTTCACCATTCTGCCTTACTCATATTGCAGAAATGGCTTTTAAATTAAGACACCTAACGGCAAAACAGCCTCATCCGTTGTAAACTTTTCTGCCCGTCTTGTTATTAGGTGGCGGTGTTAAGGATAAAAGGACTTCAAAGATCACAGTCCAGCAGATCTTTTTTCCTCTTTTTGGGCTTCTTCTCTGTTGGCTGGATACAGTTTTTTTCCCTTCTGGTCTAAAAATAGCATTATTTTCCAATTGCTGCGCTTGAGTTTCCAAAATTTAATGACATTTGTGCTTCTTCATTATCAGCTGACTTTTTTAAAAGAGCTGGGAATGTTTTGCTTACCGCTGTCAAAACCTTGCATTCAACAGAATATAATCTTTGTGCCAAAATCTGACCGTGTTCTTTTGCGTTTCTTTCTATTTTATTGGGAGGGTGCTGCACGGTGGGGAGCGCTACTACAGAAGGCAGAGCGTTTCCTGGCTTAGGAAAACGGCTAATGCAAAAGTACTGGATTGTAGCACTATTTGCGCGATTAAAGCTTCTCAGCATTAAGTTGCAGAAAGCCTCGTGTGCCGGAGGAGCCCTCACGTGACGGGATTCTTCCCCCTCTTGCCTTCTCTAGGTGGATAAGATAGTGGACCAGCTGCAGCAGTTTGTTCAGAGCTACGATCTGGCCGCTCTGCGGGATTACTGGGCTTATCTGGACCGGCGCCTTTTCAGCCGTTTGGAAGACGTGTACCGGCCAACAGTCAACAAGCTGAAAACCAGTTTATTCCGCTACTACCTCGTCCATACTGTTCAGGTGGTGTTTGCTTTTTAGGCTTCTCTTTAAAAACGTCGCTGGCATGTCAGACCAGTGCGTTGATGTACCCTTGTGAGCCTCTGACAGGCCTGGTGGGTAACGGACAAGCAATTTGTGTGTCACGTGTCAGGAGTTTGTTAGGAAGTTTGACACAGACTCGCATGGCGAGCTTGTAAGCAGGATGGGGAAACTCCGGCTAGGGGGAACTGTGGTTAGCTGGGAGCAGGAAGATCCACGCTCAGACACAGAGGCGTGTTGCCCTCAGATAGCAGGGCTGTGTTGCAGGGCGTTTTTTTTGAATATCTGTTCAGTCTCTGTTAATGGCTTGAATACCAGGAGAGATCATGAAGTTCGTAAATACTTCCTCGTGAGGCATGGCAGCGAGAACATGGGAAGACAAGATCAATGTTCAAAGCGATCTTCAGAAGTTGAAGAAACAGTCAGAAAAAGAACAGGCTGCTGTATGTAGGTAAGAATAATCAACTGCACTAGTACAGGCTAAGGAATGACTGGGCAGGCAGCTGTACTGCAGAAAAGGGTCTCAGTTCAGCACGAGGTGACAGGGTCCGCATGGTAATATTTCCAAATCAAGTCAGACAGACCCTGCACTCGAAGGAATAAACAGGATTGTTGTCTGTATTCCTTCCATTCTAATCTCCTGGCAGGACTCAGCTGGTCCTACAGGATCCAGGCAGTTGGAGGGTCTAGAAGAAAGCAAGGAGACTTGAAGCTGATGGAGTTGAGTTGGTGTTTTTTTTTTTTTTTTAAAGTTTATAAAAGAGAAGACTGAGGGGAGAAGTGGCCTTCAAATCTGTACAAGGTGATGGGGGAGAGAAAGAGAATGAACAATTTTGTCTGCTATGAATAGAACAGAAAATAATGAGGATGCGTTGGAGCAGAGACTCTCAATGAGACCTTAGGAAAGTGAGTGGGATATATTACACAGGGCGTACTTCAGGAAGCAGAACAGAGAAATACCTGTCAGGAATTTGGGTTCGCTTTTTACAATTTAGGAGCAATATTTCCTCCTTGACTCCACTGCCTTCACTGAGATTCTTACATGATGGATATTGATGGAAGAATGAAAATTAACTCCACGTTTCTGTATAAGTGTGGTTTCTCATGTTTTGTTCTCTTGCCTTCCTCTCGCTGCACAGCATGTTACTGTCCTGTCTGGATAATGCATCAGATGGAATTCTTTATAGGCTACATCCATTGCAGAGTTACTGAGTAATTTGAAGTATACTTTTTATCTCAATCCTGTATGCAAACACTTAGGCCTTTATGTAAGTGCACAATCTGCTCTGGTTTAGCTAGAAATCAGCGTAGGGAATTTGCCTGGTCTACCTCAGCCTTTCAATGAAGCTGTGGTGACTAGAGAGGTTAGATTAAGTGCGTTTGTGAGTGTCTCCTAGTGTATTTAAGATTCCTCTGTTCCAGATAAATCTGTTAACTAACTGCTTGCTTTGTTGGCTGGTGAGAGTAGTTGTTACTCTGTTCATAACGTAGAGCAAATGTTCCTAGAACCCATGCGGTGGCATAAATGGAGACGTTGTTCTTGCTGTGTTTCAGACCGGCCGCAATGACAAGACACAGGAGTTCTTCCTCAAGCAGGCCTCCGAGCTCCAGAACCAGGCAGAGTGGAAGGAGTGGTTCGTCCTGCCCTTCCTCCCTGCCCCAGACTCCAACCCCACCTTTGCTACGTATTTTTCGCGCCAGTGGGCAGATACGTTTATTGTGTCCCTGCACAACTTCCTGAGCGTCTTATTTCAGTGCATGCATATCCTTTTTTTTTTTTTTCTTTTCTTTTGCCATTTTGTAGTTAAATCTCACTGGCCCTGATGTTGTACTTACTGTTAGCAACAGTGCCAAGAATCAGGTGCTCTCAGGTGATTGTTCAGAGCCAAGACTTAATAGGAAGCCAGTGTTCACAAGAGGATGTCAGAATAGTAATTGTTCAATTATATGATGATATGTTATATTCCCTGGGCACAAACAACCGTGGTTGTTGCTAATGCTGAACTCATCCTTACGTTGGTGAATAGAATTAGTGGTTAGAGATCGTGTGCACGTTCCGTTTGGAAACTTTTTTCCTCTTTCCTTTGCACAGACATGCAAACTTGGGTCACAGTCTGTAACTAAATTAGGATATCCTGTTAGACTCTTGTCTGTGCGCACCTGTTCACAAGGTTGTCTAGTGATAGCTCACTATGATAGAGAAGTTCAATGTTAAGGGAAAGAACAGCTTTTGTCCCGCTCTGCGGTCTTCTGGCCGTCTTCATTTGGGAGGTGGGGAGGTTTACGCTGCGGCTGAAATAAAGCTCATCTTGGACCGTGCTCAGCCACTGCACAGCCTCTCTTGTCCTCCACTTCCTGCCTATAGAAAGGAAGAGTCTAAAATCTTTGCAAAGCCAATGTGCAATGGTGTTTATGAAGCTGATTTACAGTAACGAAATACAAAGTTAGTTTAGGTAAATAAGCTGTTACCAATCTTCTGGCCTCGCATGGGTTTCTTGCTAGCAGTACAGAGTGGGCAGCTTTGTTGTCTTACAAGCAAATGGCCATTATGAGTTGGCTATATCGACTGTTTTTTTACAATTATTTTAGCTACGCTGAGTGCACATGTGCTGTGGCCTTGAGTTTTTCTTTAACATTCCCCACCTGTTCCAGTCATTTTGAACTTTGAGGCTGAATGTCACAGGAGCAGTCTCATACAAGAAGAAAATGAATCGTTGCGGCATAAGGTCAGAACTGAAGTCACTCTTTGCTCGTTGGCTG